CTCCTCTCGTTTGTATAGTTCTTATGTTCTTAATCCTTTAGGTGAGTGTATAATGTATATAATAAAAAAACACATATAATTGAATTTTCATTTAGAACATGTACTGGATAAGATAGAAAGGCTTTAAAGTTATTGGAATGTAATCTCCCAGGTGCAGCACATACTTCAGTACACTAGCAGCGGTACCATTATCAAGGTGACCGTGAATGTGACCCTAACAGACAGCAACATGGACCTGCAGCTGCTGCAGCAGCACAACGTTACCTATCAGGTAGACAGATGCCTTCTCCAAACTGTGTATGGTTATGTGTCTATGACCTTAGAAAAGACTAACTGAATGTTTGTCGTGTAACAGTTAGCCACACCTTCTGCTACACGTGGACCTACTGCAACAGTAGGACTGAAGCCAGGAGCTTCTGTGATCGCTCGCTTCACTGACAGGGTCGAACCTGTATCCTTGGCGTGGGTGTCTAAGACCAAGTTAGTCAGTAGAGCTTGTTTTTCAGGGTTCACATTGGGGGAAGTGAGCATATGGTGGCCAGGAAGGTTGGACCCTTAGCCAGCTTTAGATTCCCAGAAATGTTTTCCTCCTGAACGGTATTTGTTACCTTTACTATTTACCCAGCACATTTGCAATCTCACAATGTTCTATAACTGTTATGCTGTTACTAGTGCCATTTAAGTATACCTAGCAAGTATATTTGTAGTGTGGTTACTTTTTTGAACTGCATTGGGAAAGGCACAACATTGAATTGAAAGATTTGAAATTTGTAATAACATGTTTCCTCTTTAATGCCCATTCTCTGATGTCATACTTCCTGTCTAATCCATGACTGAGCGTCTGTCAGTTAACAATCCAAGGCATATCTCCGGGAGGCGAGTGTTCCAGTTCTCTTCTTAGCAGGGCTGTGATCCTCTTCCCACAAAACTACATTACTGGATGTGCCTACAGGTGAGGTAGTCTGCGATGGAGGCCGTGTGACTGTGTGTCGTTCTCTGCTGTGCTCTAAGCCCCCTCCTCTCTCCAGCTCCTTTTCACGCAGCTGCTCAGAGCTGCGCTCCCAGCTGTATCAGATTCTTCGGGGCACTTCGACCCCCACTTTTGTGGCTATGAATGCAGGGACCCAGCCGAACTGGACAGGAGTGATTACTCAAGACTGCTTCAGTAGTCCTCCTGTGAGTATAGTCAGTACAGTCTTTTCATGGTTGTACAGAAATCTACCTCAGTAACATCCTCTTTGGGTGTTACCAGTAGCGTGTTCTTCCATGACACCCCATGTGCTTTTCTTCATTTCTCAGGACGACTCCTGCGAGTCAGGCTGCCTCCTGCCACTGTCTCTCTCTGTCCAGCTGCTCTGGGCCCAGCGGGGACTCCTCTCTTTACCGCAGAGTCAAATATTAGGGGCTAAATTCCTGTTTCGCTGTAAGGCAGTCCAGGTAAAGATTCATTTCCCTCCCTTTCAAATGTTGATTTTCTCATCTTTTGTGCAGCTTGACTAAAAGTGATACTGCTCTGCCTGTGTAATCAGTGCCTTTTACCCCTTGCTTTTCTGCAGTGCCCGCTCACCACCCCGCTTACTGTGATGACCGAGGTGACATTTTCTGATGCCACAATCTACCCAGTGCCCCCCAGGGGCCAGCCAGAGCCGGATTGGAAAGTCCCCTTCGGCTTCTTTTCCCGAGGGGCAGATGAGCAGGAAAACATGCCGGTGCTGAACTGCTCTGGATACACTGATGCATTGTGGTTATGTACACTGTGGGCTGTAGGTTTTATATTGTCTGCGGTACCGTAGAGCCGGTATTGACGGGAGCCCTTCCCTACACAGCACTGGTAAAGGTAGTCGGTAATGTATGATGGATAGACTTGGATGATCTGTGCTGGCACTTAGACTTGAGAAATGCAAAACAGAGCATGACTTACATCTGTCATTGACAGGAAGTCACCCATAGGCATAGCAACATTTTCAAAATGGCACCAAAGATTTTTTTTTAATAGAATAAATTTATTTTCTCCTATTGTACACCTTTCATGTTGATGATTATTAGTATGTCTTTTGTTGCTGTTCATTTAAAGGAACACTATATGTGTACCCTCTCCTGCTCTCTCTCCTTGTCAGTCTTGCGGACATAGTTCAGGAGGTGGACGATTGCACTAGGGGTTATCCCTGGCAATCTGGTAGCAGCGCCCAGCTGTGGAACAGAGTGAAATTAAGAATGATAAAGCATTTAAAGTACACTGGAACTATACCATAGTAATTTCTGCAGAATATATACAGGAAAACTGGGTTTTGAGCTTATGAAAGGCACTGTTACATATCTTCATAAGTGCATACTACTACTATTCACATAAAAAGGCCCAACTCACAGTGTGTGGCTTGGCCCGGTCCAGGACCTCTCTAGCCTCCATGGACAGTGAGATTGGGAGGGTGAGATAGTCGACATCTTGGGGCAGAGAGAGATTCTCATCCTTCCGCACTCTTTCCATCTCCTGCTCCTGCATCATGTAGTGGGGACGGTACAGCCCTGGGAGGGATTGACACACACATTAGACCAGCACACACACACACAGCCAAGAAAACCCCAATTCTGCTTCACCTGCCTTCGATTTTGAGTCTCTTAGAGAACTCCAGGTATGCTGACAGGCAGCCTGGGAAGGCAGAGGCCAGCATCTCAAAGGTGACGTCTTTGTACTCCAACAGCTCCAGACCACTAAGGGGAAGAGAAAAATATACTAGCTAAAAAAAATGATCAGGTTATGAATTAGGTTTAAATCTTTAATAGGCAGTTATAAACAACTTATAACAAATTGTTTTATTAATTTTACTGCCCTTTGAAAGTGGCAAAAGGGAGCCTTATTGTAAAGTGGTACCCAGACACCTAATTTGTGCAACTAGTGCAGCAGTTTGCCCAGGAAAAATGGATAGATCCACTTTGCAGATACACAGTGCTACTGGGTAAAAGCAACAGCATTACCTAAATGTTGTGAGTTTCCACTAAGTATGACAATGCACTCACTTAAGTTTGGCACTCTTGGTTTTGCTTAAATGTATCTGTCCTAGCTTCTCCATCCACTTGGTACAGGACATGGAGATGGACTCCAAGGCAGCCATTGCATCCCGCAGTCCATCCGTCATCCTCACTGCCTCCTTGTAGCGCTGCATGGACACACAGCCCATCTCCTCAAAACCTAACAAAGAGCACACGCGCATTCACGACTGGCAGCCATGCTGGACATATCACACTGTTCCGGAACAGAGCCGGTGAGGCTCTTACCTCTGGTAGAGAGGCGGAGGTCAGCGTTATCGGAGCGCAAAACGATCCTGAACTCTGCCCGGCTTGTGAACATGCGGTACGGTTCTGTGACCCCCTGCACAATCAGGTCATCGATCAGGACTCCTATGTAGCTCTGGGTGCGGGAGAGGGCGAGCAGGGGCAGCGAGAGTGCTGCTCGGGCTGCACTGACTCCTGCCCACAGCCCCTGGGGGGGGGGTGGGGGGTCACAAGAGCAAGGCCTTAACATTTTGCAGTGACATTGGTGGAACAGTGAGGGCAGGACACAGGTGTTTGAGTTACTGTGCAGTTAAACATATTCAGTGTAATAAATGGATTTCCACCCACCCATCTGTCCATATAGTAAGTCAGATGTGCTTATTTTGTATGCTAGGATGTCAGAGAGCACCGCTATGTTGGTTCTGCAGTCAGCCGCCTTCGCCTGCTGCTGCCGCTGCTGCTATGACCAGTACCTGTGCAGCTGCCTCCTCATATCCTGTGGTCCCATTGATCTGCCCAGCAAGAAACAGCCCCTGAGCCTTTTTTACCTGGAGGGAGGGTGACAGCTGAGTGGGGCACACAAAGTCATACTGCACCCCATAGCCTGAAATAAGGACAAAGGGAATGTAAAAGTATTAAAGGTGATAATGATGATAATAAAATAGCTAATTTATTACATGCAGAGATCGCGGACATCGGGGACACCGCGATTAAGAACAATGAGGCAGTTGTAATGGAAGGGCTGAACAATTTGAGGAAAATATCTAATTATGATTTTTCTGACAGATTGCAATTTGTGATATTTTTTAAAAGTCAAGCTTCAGTTCAATATTCAGCTTGTAATAGATCTAAAACATATGACACAGCATTAGCACATGAGATACCATCAAACCATTTGATATCGATAAACTGTTCAGCCCTAAATAATGGTAATGATGTATTCCATACCCGGGGTGCGGATCTCTGCCTGCTTCAAAGCAGGGATCTCCCTGATGAGTCGGAGCTGTAGCTCCGGGGGCAGGGTCATGGACAGGCCCTGGGGGTACAGCAGGTCTGAGGCCACCCCCTCTGGCTCCAGCCACACCTGCTGCTCCCGCCCCGGAAAGCGCAGCACGCGCGACTCGATCGACGGGCAGTATCTGATGGGGGAGACAGGCCATGTTTCAAAGTTCGGCGCAGCGCTGGGTCCAGCGGCTTAGGCAGCCTGGGTGTATCCAGCACGTGCGTGTACCTGGGGCCTTTGGTGTCCTGCTGGATGTGAGCGTTAAGGTGCAGGCCCTCCTTCACCACTCTTTCCACGCCAGGGGTGGTGTGAGTCAGGTAGCATGGCAGCTGTTCTTCTGGCTAAGAAAATACCCAGATAATCAGGCAGAGAGAATAGTCATCATTTATGACAAAGAGAAGAAATTCATCCATCTACAATCCATCCATCCATCCACCCACGCATTTTCTGTAATCACTTGTCCTATTCAGGGTCATGGGGGGTCCAGAGCCTATCATTTTTTAGTAATCAAAATCAAATGTGCAGTACAAACATTATTTTAGGGTTTATTTCCATTGTGAATTTTTTAGTTGCGAAGATTCATAAATGGAGAATTTACAGTGTGAAAACACCTAAATTGTAAAAAGTAACAGTGTTTAAGAACTTGAAAAAACTGGATTCTAAGTTTTCATTCCAGCTGACTCACATATTCAGGTGCATAAATTTGTGGAAATGAAAAATTCAATGAAAAAAATCTGAGGTCACACAGCACATGGGAAATATGGCATATATGATTTTACATTACACATTAATAATAATTTGTCGAGTGAGTTCTCTTTGGTGACTACCTGTCCATAGCCAGGCCCACACATACGGGAAGCACTCTGCTTTTCCAGTAAACTCCTATCCATCTGGCTAAATGTCAAACGGGTTGAAGTGTATTCTCAGTGTCACTATGAACACGACAAGGCTCAGATCTGAGCTGCAGCCCATTACGCTCATATTCTGGTCATATATAGTATGCAGTATGTACCACTTTTATCTTGTTCAATATCAATCCCACAATGGCCACACGACCGAAAGCTATCATGCCCACTGAACACTGAGGCCTTACCTTACAACGCGTCTCTTTGTTAAGGAAGCTGAAGGGGGTTGGCTGCTTGTCCCCAGGACACACTTTAGTGAGGGACAGCTGCACCGTGTCCTTCACTATGCGCGGGGGGGTGCCGGTCCTCAGCCGACCTATTTTTAAGCCCAGTGTTTCCCGCAGTGTGTGGGAGAGACCACTACAAGATGGGGGGTCTCCCATCCTCCCCCCCTGGGAAACCGTCTGACCCATGAAGAGGGCACCAGACAGGAAGGTACCAGTGGTGAGAATAACAGACTTTGCGTTGATGGGCTGGGCTCCACCGGCTGTGGGAGAGAATGGAATCAGCACTCCATCATGCAGATTAGGTAACAGCGACACACTGTGAGATCGTTAATACAAACAACCACTTACCTATACGGACTCCAGTGACTTTGATTTGGCCTGGCTGGTCTGGGTTGGGCTCGGACACCAATAACCCCTCCACTGCTCCTTCCAGTACAGTCAGTCTGGGTGTGGAGAGCAGCTCTGACTGGTGGGAAAGAGCATGCAGGTGTGGAGGATAATAAGAAATTAGTTTAAGAAATGGGGAACTTCGCAATTATGTAGATGGATGGAAATCAGGCTATTCTCTGCACTCAAGTTAAAAATAATAAAACAATAAAAATAATATCCATGCACTCTTTATCCTTAGTACACATCCAGCATTGAACATAAAACCTCCACATACTCTAAATATGTGCAGTTTTGTGCAGCTCAGCATTCAAGAAGCTATATGAAAAAAAGACCCTTGAACTTTACAATCACACCATTTAGCAGGCGTTTTTATCCAAGGTGACATAAGTGAAGATCAGAAAGTAAGTAGGATAGTGTCGCTTGAGCAACTGGAGTCAAGGGCCTTGTTCAACAGTGACATCACTCTGCCATCCAAGGGATTTGAGCCAGTAAACTTCTGATCCATTACGTTATCCATCTCTACACTTCTGCCTTTCAAACAGTACCTGGACGGACTCCCCCTAGCACACCCTAACTGGACGGACTTCCCCTAGCACACGCCCCACCTAGTGCGCCATACCTGGATGAACTCTCTGTATCGATCTCGATCCAGCTGAGCCCGGGGCCCCCACACAGCTGGACCCTTGCTTCGGTTCAGGATGGAGAAATGGATCCCAGCCCAGTCTCCTGCACGACCGCACAATCCATCCAGGGCATCCACCTCACGGACCAGGTGGCCTTTCCCCACACCACCCAGCGAGGGGTTACAGGACAGCACCCCTGGAAAAATGGTGTCCACAATTACAAATACAGTGGTACCTCAGAACTCGACCTTAATCCGTTCAGAACCCGGGTTCGAATCCTAAAAAGTTTGAGTTCTGATCGAATTTCCCCCATAAGAAATAATGGAAAACCAATTAATTGGTTCCCGGCCAATTAAGCATTTAAACACAAAATGACCCGGATAAAACAAGAGCAGCATACACTGTACTAAACACATCTAAGCACATTTATCAAAACAGTAATTTGGAAAGTAAGAAAATAAATGCATCCAAACAAGTAAAAAAAAAAAACAAAAAACAATGTGTCCTGCCCCGATCGTCCGCTCCTTCCATGTGCCACGTCCCCTTGTTAACCCCGTGTGGAATCCCTGTGTGATCACGTTTCTGGTTGTTGTCATTAGTCCT